TAAGATCGGTCACTCCACTCCCCGCTGCTTTCGTCGCCTGGACGACCTCTTTCGTCAGCGTTTCGGCCCGTCGCCAGACCTCCCGGACTGGCACAGTTTGCTTAGTCGTCAGATTCAGATCTTTGATATGGACATGGATGCCATTGTTTCTGCTCTGCATGTGATGTATGCTGATGACTCTAGTGTGCTTCCGACTTATTACTCACTGTTGCCTAGTGTAGGTGTGCCTCGCTTAGCCTCCCCTGCTGCGTCAGGCGTAGGATCCCCGGCTTTGTGTAGTCTTGGTGCTTCTGCCGTCGTTCCGTCGCCAGACCCCTCGGCTTCGCTTTCCTTCACCTTGGACTCTGGCGCCTCTCGGTGTTTCTTCCGCGACTCCACCACCCTGACGCCGCTTCCTGTTCCTGCTGCCGTTTCTCTTGCTGACCCCTCCGGCGGTCCGGTAGTCGCCCGCAGTTCCACCACCCTTCTCTGTCCGGCGGTTCCTTCGGGCTCTCTTACAGGTCTGCATATCCCCTCGTTCTCCAGGAACCTAGTCGGTGTCGGCTGCCTCCAGGACCTTGGCGTCACCACTACGTTCCCTGGTCACGAGCGGTATGCTGTCTGTACCGAGGCCGCCACTGGTGCCCCCCTGTCCACGTTCCCCCGGGACCCGGTGTCCGGCCTGTTCACTCTGGACATCGTGCCCCCCCCGGCTGGAGCGCCCCCTCAGGTGGCTGTGTCTTCCCAGGTTGCTGCTGCCTGCTCCTGTCGCTCCCTCACTCACCCGACCCTTCTGTGGCACCACCGCCTAGGTCACCCTGCGCTCCCGCGTCTGCGTCACATGTCCCAGCACGGTCTTGTCCTTGGTCTCCCAGGTTCACTCCCCGCGTTTCCCTCCTCCCCAGCTCCACCTTGCACGCCTTGTGTCGAGGGTCGGCTTCGCCGTGCCCCTCACTCCTCCTCGTTCCCCCCTACCGCCGCGCCGCTGCAGACCCTGCACCTGGACGTCTGGGGCCCCGCCCCCGTCCCTGGGCCGCGTCGCGAGCGCTACTTCCTTGTGCTTGTCGACGACTTCACTCGTTACACCACAGTCTTTCCCCTGGAGCGCAAGGCCGACGTGCCTGGCGCCCTCATCCCCTGGCTTGTCTCTGCGCGTGTCCACCGCGGTCTCCCTGTCTTGCGTCTTCACTCAGACCGTGGTGGCGAGTTTGCCTCAGGTGTCCTTGGTCGCTTTTGTCGTGCGGAGGGCATCACCCAGACGTTCACCCTACCGGACTCCCCACAGCAGAATGGGGTCGCTGAGCGACGCATCGGTTTGGTCATTGAGGTCGCTCGCACCTCCATGGTCCATGCCGGTGCACCCCATTTTCTGTGGCCGTTCGCTGTGCGCTACGCTTCTCACCAGCTTAACCTGTGGCCGCACCCTCAGCAGCCGCAGGTTTCGCCGACCCGTCTTTGGACTGGGTCTCCTGGTGATGCGTCTGCGTTCCACGTCTGGGGCTGCCTTGCTCACGTCCGTGCCTCCGGCACGGACAAGCTCACTGCCCGCACCCTTCCCTGCGTCTTCCTCGGTTTTCCCCTTGACACGTCCGACTGGCACTTTTTCCACCCGCCGTCTCACCGCTTCTTTCACTCTCGTGACGTCACCTTTGACGAGTCCGTCTCCTACTACCGCCGCTTCCCCCACCGTGGTCCGCCGGTTACCCCCCCCCTGTTCCTGGTCACCCCTTCTCCGGTAGTCCCTGCCCCTCCTCCTCCTCCTCCCCGTCCCGCCCCCTCTGGTGTCTCCCACGTCACCCCCCTTCCGTCCGTGGACCCGGTTGAGGAGTCTTCTGACTCTGGTGGCCCTCCAGTGCAGTCCTCGCCGGCCGCCCCTCCCCAGGTGTCCCCCCCCCGGTCCCCTCCTCCGCCGCCCCTGCCGCCGCTGCAGCCGTCGCCGTCGCCGCCGCCGCTGCCGCCGCCGCCTTCGCAGCCCCCGTTCGCTGACTCTGGGGGTGCTCGTCCCGGTCGCCCTGAGGGTGGTCCCTCTGGGGGTGCGGGTGTGGAGCGTGCCGGTGGTAGCCGAGGAGCAGCTTGTGGTCCAGGTGTCGCCGTTGTGCCGCCGCAGCAGCAGTCCCCGCCGGTGTCCGCCCTTCGCCTGCTCGGCCTTCCGTCCCCCGACCCTGCGTCGGTTCCTCCCCGACCGTCTCCTCCTCTTCCTGTCTACGGCCCTGTTTTCCCTCCGCCGGACTCGTCCCTGGCCCGTCTCCCCCCTCGTTCCCCTCCTGTGTCCCCTCCCCTGTCTCCTGACCCGACTCCTCCGTCCCACGTCTGGTCTCACCGTCCCTCCCGTGCTCGTCCTGCCTCGCCTGTCTTGCGCTCCCACCCTATGTTGCTTCGTTCACACGCGTCTCGTCCTCCCCTTCTGCCGTCGCCTCCTCCTTCCTCCCTTGTTGTTGCGCCCCCCCCGCTGTCCGACTACCTTCGTGCCGCTCGTCCTCTCGTTCCTCGGGTCCTTGCCTCCCTCGTTACCGACCCGTCTGTTCCGGTCTCGTGCCTTGACGCTCTTGTCGCTGCTGTCGCTGACTTCGCCTCTACCCGCCGCCTTGACTACGCCACCGCTCTGGTCTCTGACCCTGCCTGTCCTCCGTCTGTCGGGGGTGCTCCTGCCCTTGGCAGTGACGTCCTGGAGGACCGCCAGTTCGAGCTTGCTTTCCTCTCCGAGGCTGCTCCCCATCTCTGTTCCATGCTACTAGTCCCTGAGGGTGACCCAGACGCTTTCGACATCCCGACCCCTCGCACTTACGCTGAGGCGACTTCGGGACCCTGGGCCTCGCAGTGGATAGCTGCCATGGAGCAGGAGATGGCATCTTGGAGATCCACCGGCACCTTCGTCGACGCAGTTCCCCCGCCTGGGGTGAACGTAGTCGATGGCCGCTGGCTCTTCAAGGTGAAGCGCCCTCCTGGAGAGCCGCCTGTCTTCAAGGCGCGCTATGTGGCTAGAGGCTTCAGTCAGCGCGAGGGGGTGGACTTCTTCCAGACTTTCGCTCCGACCCCGAAGATGACTACTCTTCGGGTTCTGTTACACCTAGCTGCTCAGCGTGACTACGAGCTTCACTCACTTGACTTCTCCACTGCCTTCCTTCAGGGCAGTCTACACGAGCAGGTCTACCTGCGCCGTCCTCCGGGCTTTACTGGCACCTTCCCTCCTAGGACCCAGTGGCTCCTGCGGCGCCCCGTCTACGGCCTGCGCTAGGCTCCCCGTGAGTGGCACGACACTCTGCGTGCTACGCTTGCTGACCTGCAGTTCTTTCCGTCTTCTGCAGACCCTTCACTCTTCGTTCGTGCTGGCCAGACTCCGTTCTACATCCTCGTTTACGTCGACGACCTGGTCTTTGCCACAGCAGACAGGGACGCGCTGGCCTCCGTGAAGGCAGAGCTGCTGAAGAGACACACCTGCACTGACCTTGGAGAACTGCGCCGTTACCTTGGCTTGCAGATCTCCAGGGACAGAGCTGCGCGCACCATCACCCTGACTCAGTCACACTTGGTGCGCCAGGTCCTTCAGAGGTTCAGCCTTCAGTTCTCCTCTGCACAGCCCACCCCTCTGCCAGTAGACCACAGGCTCTCCGCTCCAGTGCCTGAGGAGTTGGTAGAGCCCAGCGGCCCCTACGCAGAGCTGGTGGGTTGCCTCATGTACCTGATGACTTGCACTCGCCCAGATCTCGCATACCCTCTCAGCATCCTGGCTCGCTTTGTGGCCACAGGCAGACACCGACCGCAGCACTGGTCTGCCGCTAAGAGGGTTCTGCGTTATCTTGCTAGTACATCGGGCATGGGGTTAGTGCTAGGAGGACGCAGGCCAGCGATCCTTACTGGGCACACAGACGCTTCGTGGGCAGACGACGCTGAGACTCTCCGGTCTACCCAGGGCTACTGCTTCAGCCTTGGCTCAGGTGCCGTCTCGTGGAGAGCTACTCGCTCTTCGTCTGTTGCACAGTCCAGCTGTGAGGCTGAGATCTACGCCGGTGCCATGGCGGCACAGGAGCTCCGCTGGCTGACCTTCTTGCTTACTGACTTAGGTGAGCGGCCTAGCTCTGCCCCGGTCCTGTTCGCTGACAATAGGGCCATGATCCTCCTGTGTCAGGAGCCTTGACTCGAGGGCAGAGCGAAGCACATTCAGCTGCGGTACTTCCTCCTGCGTGAGCTACAGCAGCGACGTCAGGCTCGCGTAGTACACTTGGCCTCAGGTGCCAACACGGCTGATATCTTTACGAAGGCACTTGCGCCTAAAGATCATCAGCGGCACTGTGTACAGCTTGGTCTAGTTCCTGTAGCCTCTCACTTGCTAGGACCTTGACTTTGTATTGTCCTTTATATGTATACTCAGACTGGACTTGTGTCCTCTCCCAGTGGCTGGACTAGTAGTACCGCCCTGCTCTTGTGCTTGCCTTGTCTGTACTCCTTCTGACTGGTCGCTCAGACCCTTGTCTCAGAGGTTGGACTAGTAGTGCCGCCCTGAGCTGTTTGTTTAGGACTTTCCCCTATGCAGCCTAGGGGGTGTGTCAAACATGTCTATGTGTTATGTTTGTATGGACTGTATAGGGTAGCCTCTTAGAGGGTACAACACTTAGCTATATTGTGTGTATTCTCTCTGTATCACCACACTTCAGTTTCTGATAGTTTGCTGTAAAGGAGACAAAGTCCTTCATCTATTGGCAGTTATTTCAGACGTGCCACCTAGTCTCATTTGCATTTTTTTGTTCCAACTTGCCCACCCTTCCCTCCCATGCTTTGATAACTAGCATGGCCTACTCATCCTTGTTCCCTTGCCATGTATTTGCCCTATCTAGTGTGTTGTATTATGGAGCTATGATATGCTATGACGACTGCACTGCACACTCTTCTGAGGTCGTGTCACAGTCAGACAAAATGCGCAAATCTTGTTTGATACTACTGACATTTTTTTCCAAAAGAGAACTCTGCTCTATACTTTCTTTCTAGTTAACATTTCTAACTTCGAGATGTCTCAAATGGAAGTGGTGAAACATGCACACTTGAGTTCCAATAAATAATGCATATACATATCATAACTTCGAGGTGTTTTTATTTTTTGGCCTTTCATTACACCCAACCCTAAATTTCGCTGCATTTTTACTAGCACTATAGAGTGTTTTATACGGGGGAATACGGTACAGTCGAATTGTTATATCAGGAATGCATAAGTGGAGTATGCCTAGCAGGCCCCACCAAAGCACGCAGTAGCGACGGATTTTCAGGGGAAAATCCAGTGCACACTGCTTATTACTCTTCCTCCACCCACCAACTGCGATTTCCCCAGCAAAATACTTCCTCGTAAATCAAGCCCACTTACTTGCCTAGTACATCAAGCGCAGCTGGCCACGCACAGCACCATCGGGGTAGCGCTTGGTGTGAATGTTCCCATAATAATCCGCAGGCATCTTGTCAATCTTGCTCAGCGCAGCCTTGAGTGCCGCCGTGCGCTCGCGCTTCTCCTTGCCCATGCTCCCCTCGCACCGCCACAGCTCCATGCCCTTCTTCACATAGCCGCACGGCAGGTCCAGGAGAATGTCCCCGTTCTTACCCTTCTTTCCCGAGTGCACGTGCGACTTGGTGGGCGGCATCTCCCCCTTGAGCCGGCGCACAGTGACCTGGTACTTGAGCCACTTGGGCCCGTCGTCGTCCCTGCAGGATTGACCAAGGGGATTCAGCATGGCGAAAAGAGGGATGACCAGGAGCAGCCGAGCTGACACCTACTGCAAATCCACAAATGCTTGTTACTAAATGCACCAGAATTCTAGTCCGGGGGACTCGGTAATGGCAGGGACTTTCCGGGGAGATTGCCTGGCGAAATGCCGCGCTGAGAGGGAATGAGAGCGAACATACTTGTAAATCGCGAGGCGCATGTAACCCACGCCTCGCATGTCGCCCACTGCGTTCTTCGCCGCCTGGGTCTCGTTCTTAGGAACCTCGTTAACCCCCAAAAGGACAGAAGCAAACGTGCCTGCATAGGGGAACATTGAGCAGGTTAGGTGACGGTATAGGGGAAACGGAAGTCCGTGCTGGAAGCAGACAAACGCAGCAACACTGTGATATCGAAGCAGGAGCAGCGGGATAGACGCCGGAACTCCCGCAGCCCCTTGCAGGCTTCAGAAGTAACCTATGTCGAGGTCCTATCAAACGAGTCAGGAGACAATTCTAATAGTGAAAATTGTCTCGTTCTGCTAGACCGATATTTCATCGCACTGAAAAATTCCGGATTTGAGGTTGTGTCACAGATGTGAAGGTAAAGCAGAACGGGCAGAGCGAAGACTCACGAATGGTTTCCTTGTCTGCCAACGCGGTTGTCAAAAGCGCCGCAGCACAGACTGCGATGTCACAAGAACGTGAACCACCAAAAAGAATGCGCCGTCAGATTGAGAAAACAAGGTAAAAAGTGCTACTTAGTAAGTGCTGTGGAATCGGAACGAGCGGAGTTGAGCGTGGGTACCAGCTTGACGACCGACGTGAAATTGAATTCTCTCAGAAAGGGAAGGATTCTAAATGGGAGCGCACCAATGAGAAGAAGAGCTCGTGAGTCCATAGCTGCTATCAGTGATGGCCGCTCGCTGGGCGGCGGACTTCAGGATAGTCACGTCGACCTCGAGTGTTGAGGCAAGTCGAAACAACTTTTCAAAGATGTCATCTCCCAAAGGAATTCTACTCATGTAATGCAGCAGCGATTGAAAGCGCGGCGTCAGTACTGCGTTGAGGTGCAAGCGAGCCACGCCGGAGACCGCTGGTTGCGTCTGGCCGGGGGACTCAAGGGGAGACAACGAAGGGTGACTCAGCGGCGAGAGTAAGGCGCAGCCGTCTCATCTCAAGATGCGGAAAAGCGCCTCGCGCCGCTCTCTGAGATGAGAGGAGGAGGCGCCTGTTGCTTCAGATCTCACCATCGTCGCGTCTCGCCAGGTGGCAATTCCTGAATCGTCGTCGGAATTTCCGTTCCAGGAAATCGAATGGCAGCGGAAAGCTTACCTGGCAGCATGTGTCGGTCGGAACGGAATACTGTACATGAATCGTTTAGACTCTAGGCGGACTAGACCAGGTGTACCGCCAGCGCAACTCAACAGAAGAGACAGGAGGACAGGCGCCTCCCCTCCCCTCCCCACCCCAGCCAAGCGCAGTCAAGAAACCCCAGGCAGCCGCCGGCCAGCGTGGACCACGAGCTGGCGGGACCGTCCGATCGAGGGATCGTGCGTACCCAAATCGCAGGTGACACACCAGATTCCTAGCCGATGGAAGGTAAGAAAGTCAGCGGATGGATGGATGCGTGTGAGCAAGGAAACATAACCGCCGACGGCTGCATCGCCACCGTCCGTTCAATGTTCAGGAACGAGGTCAAGAATTGAGAATGTGTAGAGGAAAAGGTTTCCTCGGTAAAAGAAGATCCGTGGGCAGCTAAAATAAAAGCGTTGTGAGAGAAGCTTAGTGTGATACAGTAAAATCCCATATAGAAGACCCCAACTGTAAGGAAAATCATTTCCTTAGCGAACCCTCGTTAAAACCACAGGTTAAAATAGCAAAGGAGGGCTTCGAGTGAGCCCCTCTTAAAGGAAGAACACTTCAGAACAAAAAAAAAAAAAAAAAAAAAAAAAAAAAAAAAAAAAAAAAAAAAAGGGGGGGGGGGGGGGGGGTTCTGGTGCGAAACAGCCTGTGCAGTTTAAGGGCAGCTGGGCAGATACGCACCCTCAAATTCGCGCGCCTTACGGGTGGTTGGGTTGGGCGAAACGTCGCAAGGAAACGTGTGCGACCAATGCCCCAAAGCCATGCGCGACGGACCCGACTTCCCGCCCAAATGAGGAGCCCGAAGTAAAGCCGAAACATGGGCGTGATTACGTCGAAAAGTGCAGCGCAACTCAGATCACATAAACGGAGGAACCCGAGCATGTGACGAAACGAAGAATTAAAGGTACTGAAACCGGAGGATGGTTCACAAATTATGAACAAATTGCACAAATTGAAACATGCATATTGTTATGAATTAATCAGAGTACTAACAGGTAGTGTAATAAAGGAGTCGTGATTCAAGAGTGTCGATACAAATGAGGGCCTAGGCATTTATAGGCACGAACAGAGCTAGCCGAGAACCACGCGAACAGATTTGGGCGGTCCAGTTGGCGAAATCTACGGAAGCACCGCGCATCTAGGTTTGGGTTTACGAAGTGGTTCGGGACCGGAGACGTTGGCCGAGCCTGGACTTCCGAGAGTCGAGGACTTACGCGCTGTAGTCGAGCTTGTCAACTTATACATATATTTGTGTGTAGAAGTTTTAGGCTAGATAGGTGTGTGTTCTTAGAGAGTTCAACTCCAACCCTATGTCTCCCTTGTTCTTGTTACATGTCGAGAGGAAAGTGACTAAGGGAGAAAGGCTGAGGGTTACAAAGGTGGGAATGTATCCTCTAAGAACTGACCTAACTAAGGCTATAACAAATATACTGTATGTAGCATAGACAATTATATTTGTTGACGCACCCCTAGCCAAGATAGTGGCAGTTGTCAAACATGTGTATCTCCTATGTTTGCATAGACTGTATAGGGCCACCTCTTAGAGGGTACAACACTTAGGTATATTCACCTGTACTCTCTCTCTACTCTTCATTCAGTTCTCACTTTGATATAGTATCACGCGTAGGTTAGGATCCCCCACCTACCGCTTCCGCCTGTACCCTAGCTAGGCCCCGCCGCTTCCCCCCTGGGCCCCATCGCGCCTCCTAGCCCCGTCGCGCCCCTCCTGGGCCCTGCCGCGCCTCCTGGCCCCGTCGCGCCCCCCTAGCCCCGTCGCGCCCCTCCTGGGCCCCGTCGCGCCCCCCTGGCCCCGTCGCGACCCCATAGCCCCGTCGCGTCCCTCCTGGGCCCCGTCGCGCCCCCTAGCCCAGTCGCGCCCCTCATGGGCCCCGTCGCGCCCCTCCTGGGCCCCGTCGCGCCTCCTAGCCCCGTCGCGCCCCTCCTGGGCCCTGCCGCGCCTCCTAGACCCGTCGCGCCCCCCTAGCCCCGTCGCGCCCCTCCTGGGCCCCGTCGCGCCCCCCCTGGCCCCGCCGCGACCCCCTAGCCCCGTCGTGCCCCACCTGGGCCCCGTCGCGCCCCTACTGGGCCCCGTCGCGTCCCCCTGGCCCCGACGCGCCCCTCCTGGGCCCCGTCACGCCTTTTAGCACCGTCGCGCCGTGCCTGGGCCCGTCGTGCCCGCTCGGCCCCGTCGCGCCCTGCCTGGCCCCGTCGCGCCCGCTCGGCCTCGTCGCGCCCTGCCTAGCCCCGTCGCGCCCTGCCTGGCCCCGTCGCGTCTGCCTGGCCCCTCCGCGCCTGCCTCGCCCCGCCGTGCCTGCCTGACCCCGTCGCGCCCTGCCCAGCCCCGTCGCGCCCTGCCTGGCCCCATCGCGCCTGCCTGGCCCCGCCGCGCCTGCCTGGCCTCGCCGCGCCTGCCTGGCCCCGCCGCGCCTGTCTGGCCCCGCCGCGCCTGCCTGGCCCCGCCGCGCCTGCCTGGCCCCGCCGCGCCTGTCTGGCCGCGCCGCGCCTGCCTGGCCACGCCGCGCCTGCCTGGCCTCGCCGCTCCTGCCTTGCGCCCGTCCCAGCCGGCCCCGCGCCCGCCCTTGCGACCTCCGCGCCCGTCTGCTCGGCCCCTGCGCCCGTCCCAGCCGGCCCCGCGCCCGTCTCGTCGACCTGGTGCCCGCTGCTTCTGGCCCCCGTGCCCGTCCTGCCCCGAGCTGTGTGCGGCCCGCTCCTCGTCCCTTCCCCGGCCCTGCATCCTCCCTGGTACGCTTCCCCATCCCTGTACCGCACTTCACCGCCCTGCACCGCACTGCACTGCACAGTACCACCCTGCACCGCACTGCTCCACCCTGCACTGCACTGCACCGAGTTGCACCGCACTGCACCGCACTGTACAGTCCTGCACTGCTCTTGATGGCGGCGGAGCTTCGCTTCGACGCTGAAGGCCAGCCTCTGGAGTTCGAGGCGTGGCTCGCTGACCTCCGTCGCCACCTCACTGGCCATCGACAGGATGGCCACCCGCTTTCCGCACACCTTGACGGTACGCTCCCCTGCCCAGACCCCCCTGCTGTTCTGCCTGCTGACCCCACACCCGCTGAGCGCGAGTCTACTGCAGCCACTGCCCTTGCGCGCTCTGTCTGGCTTTCCCGAGACGCTGTCGCTCAGCTTGCCATTAGCAATGCCCTTCCCCCGTCCGAGCACCCTCGCTTTAGGTCCATCACTACTGCCCAGGGTTACTTAGATGCTGTCATCAAGCGCTATTCCACCCCTCCTGCTGCCTCGGTGGGTCGCCTGATCCTCCCGATGCTCTTTCCCGACCTTGTGTCTTTCCCTACTGTCTCTGACCTAGCTGCCCACCTGCGCTCGATAGATGAGACCTGGCGTGCTGCCAGCACTAACGCACAGCTTAGAGCCCACCAGTCGCCCATTACCTCTACCCTCTACCTGCTTGCCACCCTCCTCCCTGACCGCCTTGCCGCCGCCCGCGACCGCTTCCTTAAGCATTCGCCCCGGTGAGCTCACCCTCACCGACTTTGTAGACACCCTGACAGTTATTGAGACCCGCCACCGCTCCATTGCCCAGGCGAGCGGTACCGTGCCGGTCCCTATCTTTCAGGGTTGTGCCCCCGCTCAGTGTACCTTCTCCGGCGGTTCTGTTGCTGTGGCTGAGAGTGCTGCTGCTGTCAGTTTCGTTCGGGGAAGGGCCGCCGCCCCAAGGCTGGGCGCGGCGGAGGAGGCGGGGGTGCAGGAGGGGGTGGTGGTGGAGTCGGGTCGTCTGGTGCTGGAGCGGACGAGGGGACCCTGCCCAGTCCAGCTGAGCCGCCGCCTCCGCAGTCGCAGCAGCAGCAGCAGCAGCTGCAGCAGTCACAGCAGTCGCAGCAGCCGCAGCCTCCGCAGCAGCCACAGCAGCCGCCGCAGACGAGGCGGGCGAGTGTCCTCCCGCCCGGGTGGCCTGGCGCTGGAGGTGGTCGGGCGCGTGGTGGTGTGCCGAGTGGTGGTTCGGGTGGCGTGCGTTGTCAGTACCAGATCCAGACCGGTCCTCGCCGCGGCTTCGTTTGCGGTAAGCTCGGTCATACCACTCCTCGCACTTACGCTGAGGCGACCTCGGGACCTTGGGCCTAGTAGTGGATAGCTGCCACGGAGCAGGAGATGGCATCTTGGAGATCCACCGGCACCTTCGTCGACGCGATTCCCTCGCCTGAGGTGAACGTAGTCGATGGCCGCTGGCTCTTCAAGGTGAAGCGCCCTCCTGGAGAGCCGCCTATGTTCAAGGTGCGCTACGTGGCTAGAGGCTTTAGTCAGCGTGAGGGGGTGGATTTCTTCCAGACCTTCGCTCCGACCCCAAAGATGACTACTCTTCGGGTTCTGTTACACCTAGCTGCTCAGCGTGACTACGAGCTTCACTCCCTCGAATTCTCCACTGCCTTTCTTCAGGGCAGCCTACACGAGCAGGTCTACTTGCGTCGCCCTCAGGGCTTTAGTGGCACCTTCCCTCCTGGGACCCAGTGGCTCCTCCGGCGCCCCGTCTACGGCCTTCGCCAAGCTCCCCGTGAGTGGCACGACACACTGCGTGCTACCCTTGCTGACCTGCAGTTCTTTCCGTCTTCCGCAGACCCCTCACTCTTCGTTCGTGCTGGCCAGACTCCGTTCTACATCCTTGTTTACGTCGACGACCTGGTCTTTGCTACAGCAGACAGGGACGCACTGGCCTCAGTGAAGGCAGAGCTGCTGAAGAGACACACCTGCACTGACCTTGGAGAACTGCGCCGTTACCTTGGCTTGCAGATCTCCAGGGACAGAGCAGCGCGCACCATCACCCTGACTCAGTCACACTTGGTGCGCCAGTTCTCCTCTGCACAGCCCTCCCCTCTGCCTGTAGACCACAGACTCTCTTCTCCAGTTTCTAAGGAGTCGGTAGAGCCCAGCGGCCCCTACGCAGAGCTGGTGGGTTGCCTCATGTACCTGATGACTTGCACTCGCCCAGATCTCGCATACCCTCTCAGCATCCTGGCTCGCTTTGTGGCCACAGGCAGACACCGACCGCAGCACTGGTCTGCCGCTAAGAGGGTTTTGCGTTATCTTGCTAGTACATCAGGCATGGGGTTAGTGCTAGGAGGACGTGGGCCAGTGGTCCTTACTGGACACACAGACGCTTCTTGGGCAGACGACGCCGAGACACTCAGGTCTACCCAGGGCTACTGCTTCAGCCTTGGTTCAGGTGCCGTCTCGTGGAGAGCTACCCGCTCCTCGTCTGTTGCCCAGTCCAGCTGTGAGGCCGAGATCTACGCTAGTGCCATGGCGGCACAGGAGCTCCGCTGGCTGACCTTCTTGCTCACTGACTTAGGTGAGCGGCCTAGCTCTGCCCCGGTCCTGTTCGCTGACAACAGGGCCATGATCCTCCTGTGTCAGGAGCCTCGACTCGAGGGCAGAGCGAAGCATATTCAGCTGCGGTACTTCCTCCTGCGCGAGCTACAGTTGCGACGCCAGGCTCGCGTAGTACACTTGGCCTCAGGTGCCAACACAGCTGATATCTTTACGAAGGCGCTTGCGCCTAAAGATCATCAGCGGCACTGTGTACAGCTTGGTCAACATTCCTGTAGCCTCTCACTTGCTAGGGCCTTGACTTTGTACTTT